GGGATACCTCCGAGATGCCATGCTCTATCATCCTGTGTCCCAGGTTCTGGGGCACTAGAGTTCAGTTGCCAGTAGTGATAATTTGCACAATGACAACAATTCTTTGTTGGCTATTATAGACTAAATGTTTGTATACACCCCATGCCCCCCAACTCCTATGATGAAGCCTAATGCCTAATGTGATGGCATTATGAGGTGGGACCTTTGGAAGGGCCTTAGGTCATGAGGCTGGAGCCCTCATTATGGGGTCAGTGCTCTTATAAAAGGGGCCAGGAGAGCACTTTGTGACCCCTTCTGCCATGTGAGTCACAGCAGGAAGGCACTGTCTAGATGTGCACCGGTACCTGGGCCTCCCCAGACCGAATCTGCCTGTGCCTTGATCTTGGGCCTCCCAGCCTCCAGAGCTATGAGAAATAAATGTCTGTTGTTCATAAGTCACCCAATTTATGGTATTATTATTGCAGAATGTATAACAGAATATGACCTTGGCTTTCTTCTCTTTTCTGTCTCTCATCTCTACTAGTGGTGTTTTCTGGGATCAACTCTAACTACTTTTCTTTTACTTTACTCCTTATCTTATCTTAGTTTGGGTAACCCAAACTAAGGGACCATCTTACCTATTGGTTATGGATATTGGAAGCAGATCTTTCAGCCTGCAGCACAGGGAAGGCCAGGCCCGGGCTGGAATCCCCGGTTTCGGGTTTTACAAAGACGGCCTCCCGCTTGCCTGGGTAGTTGGCTGTTCCTTGCTTTTGCCTCTTCATCTCTGTTGACTTGGCTGCACACTAGAATTCCCTATTCTCTGCTCCAATTCTTTTTTTTCCAATGGCAATGCATTTGGGGCTGATTCTCTGATTAGCCACTTTATCCACCCAGTCTTTTGACGTTGCACGTTGCTTCCATCTATCTATTTCTGCATAACAAATTACCACCAAAACTTGGCAGTTTATAACCACAAGCATTTATTATCTTAGAGTTTCTGTGGGTCAGGAATCTGGGTGTGGCTTAGCTGTGTGCCTCTGGTTCAAGGTGACAGTCAATCTGCCAACTAGAACTGTGGTCTCATTTGAAGGTTTGACTGAGGGGGATCAGCTTCCAAACTCACTTATGTGATTGTTGAAAAGCCTTAGTTCTTTGCCATGCAGGCCTTTCCACCTCATGACATGGTGTATTTGTCTCTTTCAGCTACCATAACAAAATACTACAGACAGGGTGGCTTACACACCAGACCTTTATTTTCTCACAGTCCTGCAGCCTGGCAGTGCATACATAAAGCAATGGCAGATTTAGTTTCTGGTGAGAGCTCTCTTCCTGGCTTGTACACAGTCACATGCTCCTTCTGTCCTTCCTTACAGGGCCTTTGCTCTGTGCACATGTGGAGAGAGAGATTTCTGGTGTTTCTTCCTCTTCTTAATAGGGCACCAACCCTTGTTGACCTCGTTTGACCTTAGTTACCTCGCTAAAGGCATTGTCTACAACTACCATCACATGGGAGGTTTGCGAGGGACATAATCCAGTCTATAATATATGGTGAGACCCAGAAGAAAGTGAGTGAGGGAGTCAGTGAGTGAGAATCATCCGTAATGGAAGCCATAGCCTTTCTATAACCTAATTGTGGAAGTGATGCAGTATCATTTCTGCCATGCTCTATTTGATAGAAGTGAGTCAATATGCTTAGCTCAGCTCAAGAGGACAAGGTTACACAAGGGTGTAATACTAGAAGAAAGGATCATCGGGGAAGGGTATAGGGAAACTTTGCTGTGTGTCTTCCTTTATTCATCACATAATAAATCTGACACCAGAAATGTGGGCCTTTTCTTCCCCCTGCACCAAGCAATTCTTTGTGACATCAGCTGGATGTCCTATAATTCTGACACTCACCAGGGTTAATGCATGCCCCATAGGTTAAGGGCTTATCTCACAAGACTGCCCCTGACCTCAAATGCCAACAGCAAGTAGTGGGTCTCCAGGTTACACACAACTCCTGTCCAATTTGGCTACAAATCCGAGGTTCCCATAACTCCCTCCTTGGATCCAGTCACTTGATAGAATAGTACACAGAACTCAGGGCAACACACATACCAGTGTATTATATAATAAAGGATATGATAAAGGGCCAAGCAAACAGCCAGGTGAAGAGATACATCGCACGAGACCTGGAAGGTCCTAAGCATGGGAGCCTCTGTCCCTGTGGAGGTGGGGTGCGCCACCCCCCAGCAGGCGGGCGTGTTCACCAGCCTGGAAGCGCTCTGCATCCAGGTCTTCAGGGACTTTTATGGAGCCTTCATCCTCATGTAGGCATAATCAGTTATAAACTCAGTTTCCATCCCCCTTCCCTCTCCACAGAATGGACAATGCACATCTCGTGGGCATGCGCCGTGCCTCTGCTCTGCTGCAAGTACCCATCTCAGTAGGTTGCTGTTAGAATTAAATAGGCCACACACACACTGCATCCCAATTTTCTAATTTTTTTAGCACTATGATATTTTACTGGGTTGGCTCCTGGAGGAAGGCATTCATGGGACAACAGGTTAGGAGAGACCAGCTCCTGGCAGGTTATGTTATGTGGATTTTAGGGGCTGCATTGAAAATTTGGCCTCCACCTTAAATATGTGGGGTCCTCGACCCCGTTTATATCAACTCTATGCTCCTAAGCTTCAGCAGACATTTAGCAACCTTGGCATCAAATTCAAGAATAAAACAAAAATCAGTACAGTTACTGAAAGAGGAGAAGGAACCTGTATTTATGTGCATATGATGAGGAAAGAGAGAAGGCTGTATTCTAACCAAGGGTGTTATAAATTGAGAACTTTGGTGAGGAAGGTACACAGAGATTAATTTATAGAATCCTGTCAGCAATGCTATTTTTAAAATAGCGCTTTTAGGCTCTATGGCAAAACAAAGTGAAACAACTGGAGCCACTCCAGGCTTAGCTTCTGAATCACCAGCCAGGGAATCCAACAGATGCACATTCCTACCTGGAACCGCGCATCCTCCCCCACACTCTTCCACGAGGCCTACACTGCAGCCCTCCCAAAAATACTCACACTGGGTTTGCAAAATCAAGGCTGCAGCCCACACTCACTGCAGCCGCTCTTATCTCCTCTCCCTTGGCCGTTTCCTGATACACTTGTTATGGGTTGAGTTTCTTCTTGGTTCTTGTCCCCACAGCAACAAAGAATTGAAAGGAAAGCAGAGTGGAATGTTTGCATACACTCTGAGGGAGGAACAGGCCAGAGTCGGGGCAGACAGAGGCCTTGACCCATTTGTGAGAGGCTTATATGTTGCATTTTGCTTAAGAAGGGCCTCTTTGACTGACAAGGTGGGGCCATTTGATTGACAGGTCCATCTATATAGCCACCCTCCCAGTGAGCCTGTCCTTTCCCCAGGCTGAGGTGTGATTCAGGCAGTTCTTAGTTCCGCTCGATTGTGCCACCACTGGGATCTGGTTGGAAGGAAGTTATCTCCCTGCAAAGCCCATATTGTCTTCACATGGGACCCCTACCTGGGCAGAGTTTGGGGGGCTTTTTCTTTGAACTTTATCTGGGGGCTTTTCCCTTTGAAACTTACCTTCCCTTTTCTAGCTGCTCATGCCTATCTTTCTACCTAATGTTCCTAACACACTGACCCGCCATCCCAGCTTCTCACACTTCACACATCAGAGCAGATGGTCTTCAGCAGAGTCACTCAGAAAGGACACTGAGTAGGATGGAGCCTGGTGTCACCACATCCCCGACCTTCATCGGCATCTGGACCCATTCTTTAGCTTTCTCTGGGAGCATGGTTCAACCAGTCAGGAATCCCTTTGGTGGGGCCATTTGTTCATTCAACTATTTTGAATTCTATTTTATGTCAAACACTGAGCTGAGTAGCAGGATGCAGCAGGGCATAAGCCCCAGTGTTTTCCCTTGGGGGAAGTCTGGGAGGGAGACCTGTAAGCGTTCAGAAATGCAGGGCATCATGGGGCTTTTTTGAGCTCCTGGCCCCTAGTCTGATAGAGGGGAGCTAGCATTTCTCAAACATCTGCCATGTTTCAGACTGTAATGGAGGTCCCAGGGCAATTGACTAAAATAACACATTAGTCAAAAATAAATATTTCCAACCATAGACATTTGTCATATATTGGTGATTTCATTCATTCTGGTCATAGTGTTACCATTTTAATGTGACCTTGAATATTTGTGTCTATGTATCAGAGATTTTCAGAGATTTTGAGTTATTTTTATGAGCCCTGGGATACTTATAAGAATGTACAGTGCTTCTCTTCATTTCTCACATATTTGGAATTAGTGTATTTATTTTTAGCCAATTAGGCCTGCCTAGCTTGTTTGGCAGTCTTTCATGAATTTAAATTTTTATTCAGCTCTGAGTTTTCTAGAATCAAACTCCTAAATAATGGGTGCTTCCCACTACTAGTTTACATACTGATAAATTTTGTTGTGTGCTAGCATGGTTTTACAATTTAAAAATCACGGTGCTGGAGAGCTATTCCTCCATTTACTCTGCTACTTTGCTTTTTAAAATTGAAAGCTTACTTTAACCTAATGACACTGACTTATTTAGATAAATTTCCACCATCTTGCTTGCATATTCATTTTATATATAACAGCTTTAATAAAGAAACTTTGTAGAAAAAGCAGGTTTGAAGGAATAGCAAATGTTTGGTTGGACATGACTGAAAACAACATTAGGTTTTTAATGTTATTTAACATCAGAATGTGAAAGAAAGTGGTAAGGAATATTTATTTAGATAATGTGCCATAGATTGTGCATTTTAATGCTGATAGGCATTTATTGAGCATTTTATCCAAAGTGCACTGTTTGTCTATTCGGGCTGCTATCATAGAATACCACAGATCAGGTGGCTCATAAACAAAAGAAATTGATTTTTCCACATCTTGGATTGCCAGGAAGTCCAAGATCAAGGTGCTGGCAGATTTGACATCTGGTAGGACATGCCTGCTAATTCAATAGTGGCTATTCTGGGCACTCCCACGAACATGGCCCGGCGAACGGTGCGGAGCTTGCGGGCTGCAGGGTGCAGCCTGTTTGCTGCCTTGGTGCCGGTTGCGCCCTGCCCTCTGCATCCCTGGAGGCTGAGGGCAAGCGCCATCCGGACGCTGTGCACGGGCCCTGCTCTGCTCTCCATGCATAAATTCACAGACAAACATGAATGGATAACAACACAAAAAGGTATTGGAACAGTGGGATTCAGAAATTTTGCACAGGAAGCTTTGGGAGATTTTGTTTACTGTAGTCTGCCTGCAGTTGGGACAAAATTGAACAACCAAGATGAGTTTGGAACTTGGAAAGTGTGAAAGCTGCTAGTGAACTCTATTCTTCTCTATCAGAAGTAACTGAAATTAATGAAGGTCTTGCCGAAAATCCAAGACTTGTCAACAAATCTTGTTAAGAAGATGGTTGGCTGATCAAGATGACACTTGAGTAATCCTTCAGAACTAGAGGAACTTATGAGTGAAGAAGCATATGAGAAATACATAAAATCTATCGAGGACTGAAAATGGAACTCCTAAATAAACTAGTATGAAACAACTTAATCTAGTATAGTTGTCTAAAATTATTGGTGGATAGAAAGTTTTGATAGCAACTTTAAGTAGTACCAGTGGAAGAAGAAACTACTTTCAACATGCTGCTGGAAGAAAATCCTCTTAACTTTCTAATGATTGCAGATAAATATGCTATGAATTTTTTCCACAATACCCTATGGTCTTTAGGCTAGACTACAATTACAGTATTCAGAGTTGCTAAAATTACCTGTAAAAAGTAGGTATAAAATTATGTAATTCAAGGATAACATTATCTTAAGCCTTATGTAACTTGCTTATATCCATCCCTGGATTTGGGTCAAAATACTTAATTATCTTTCATTGGGAATACCTGGCAGTGGAGAAAAGTTTTGTTGTATATTGTCAGATGAAGAACAATACTATCTTAATTTTGCAATATACTGTGTTAGCTGGTGCTATTTTAATACAGTGAAGCAATAGCCTTGCAGGAAAATAAGAACAGTTTAATAATAAAAATCCAACATCTTCGTTAAAAAAAAAAAAGGGCTATTCTCTTGCTGTGTCCTCATATGGCAGAGGGGTCAAGGGAACTCTCTGGGGTCTCTTTTATAAGAGCTTCCTCTTTATCAATTAATCACCTCCCAGAGATGTCCAAATACAATCACATGGGTGTTAGGATTTAACATAGGAATTTTGGGAGAGCATGAACATTCATCTATTGCATACACTAATACTGACTTTTTTGTCTGAGCAATCCTGTGTACAGGTAAAGTTGTTGTCACCAGATTATCATTGCAAGTTTAAACTGAAAAAACCCTGATTATCTCTATGCTAGCTGTTGTATGCTTTTTTCTTACAACTACTGACTACAGTAGGAATTACTGGGTCCATTTTACAGGGAATAAAACCAAGGCTCAGAGAAGCTGGTCACTTCTCAAAAGTCTCTGACTCAAATCAAGACTTAAAGCTAGAGGGAGACTGAGTTCATTTGAATTCAAATGTTATTTTTCAAATCTCTTAAAAGCCTAACAGCCATCTTCATTTCAGCAAGTTTCCACAAAAATAATTTTCAATGATTCCATGTAGATAGGCCGTGTGTAGCTGCTACCTAATCAGGGGCCTATATGTAGCGAATGCTCTCAGAGTCTCCTTCGTATCTCCTTGCACTTACTATGTCAAGGCACACTAGCTAACTTCTCCTTACAAGCATGTATGTATTATATGCAACGGGTGCTGGGAATTAATGTCCTTCCCCACCCTACCAATGGCTGGCAGGAGTTGGTGGATAAATACACCAGTTCTCTCACCCCTGGGTGGGATACCTCCGAGATGCCATGCTCTATCATCCTGTGTCCCAGGTTCTGGGGCACTAGAGTTCAGTTGCCAGTAGTGATAATTTGCACAATGACAACAATTCTTTGTTGGCTATTATAGACTAAATGTTTGTGTACACCCCATGCCCCCCAACTCCTATGATGAAGCCTAATGCCTAATGTGATGGCATTATGAGGTGGGACCTTTGGAAGGGCCTTAGGTCATGAGGCTGGAGCCCTCATTATGGGGTCAGTGCTCTTATAAAAGGGGCCAAGAGAGCACTTTGTGACCCCTTCTGCCATGTGAGTCACAGCAGGAAGGCACTGTCTAGATGTGCACCGGTACCTGGGCCTCCCCAGACCGAATCTGCCTGTGCCTTGATCTTGGGCCTCCCAGCCTCCAGAGCTATGAGAAATAAATGTCTGTTGTTCATAAGTCACCCAATTTATGGTATTATTATTGCAGAATGTATAACAGAATATGACCTTGGCTTTCTTCTCTTTTCTGTCTCTCATCTCTACTAGTGGTGTTTTCTGGGATCAACTCTAACTACTTTTCTTTTACTTTACTCCTTATCTTATCTTAGTTTGGGTAACCCAAACTAAGGGACCATCTTACCTATTGGTTATGGATATTGGAAGCAGATCTTTCAGCCTGCAGCACAGGGAAGGCCAGGCCCGGGCTGGAATCCCCGGTTTCGGGTTTTACAAAGACGGCCTCCCGCTTGCCTGGGTAGTTGGCTGTTCCTTGCTTTTGCCTCTTCATCTCTGTTGACTTGGCTGCACACTAGAATTCCCTATTCTCTGCTCCAATTCTTTTTTTTCCAATGGCAATGCATTTGGGGCTGATTCTCTGATTAGCCACTTTATCCACCCAGTCTTTTGACGTTGCACGTTGCTTCCATCTATCTATTTCTGCATAACAAATTACCACCAAAACTTGGCAGTTTATAACCACAAGCATTTATTATCTTAGAGTTTCTGTGGGTCAGGAATCTGGGTGTGGCTTAGCTGTGTGCCTCTGGTTCAAGGTGACAGTCAATCTGCCAACTAGAACTGTGGTCTCATTTGAAGGTTTGACTGAGGGGGATCAGCTTCCAAACTCACTTATGTGATTGTTGAAAAGCCTTAGTTCTTTGCCATGCAGGCCTTTCCACCTCATGACATGGTGTATTTGTCTCTTTCAGCTACCATAACAAAATACTACAGACAGGGTGGCTTACACACCAGACCTTTATTTTCTCACAGTCCTGCAGCCTGGCAGTGCATACACAAAGCAATGGCAGATTTAGTTTCTGGTGAGAGCTCTCTTCCTGGCTTGTACACAGTCACATGCTCCTTCTGTCCTTCCTTACAGGGCCTTTGCTCTGTGCACATGTGGAGAGAGAGATTTCTGGTGTTTCTTCCTCTTCTTAATAGGGCACCAACCCTTGATGACCTCGTTTGACCTTAGTTACCTCGCTAAAGGCATTGTCTACAACTACCATCACATGGGAGGTTTGCGAGGGACATAATCCAGTCTATAATATATGGTGAGACCCAGAAGAAAGTGAGTGAGGGAGTCAGTGAGTGAGAATCATCCGTAATGGAAGCCATAGCCTTTCTATAACCTAATTGTGGAAGTGATGCAGTATCATTTCTGCCATGCTCTATTTGATAGAAGTGAGTCAATATGCTTAGCTCAGCTCAAGAGGACAAGGTTACACAAGGGTGTAATACTAGAAGAAAGGATCATCGGGGAAGGGTATAGGGAAACTTTGCTGTGTGTCTTCCTTTATTCATCACATAATAAATCTGACACCAGAAATGTGGGCCTTTTCTTCCCCCTGCACCAAGCAATTCTTTGTGACATCAGCTGGATGTCCTATAATTCTGACACTCACCAGGGTTAATGCATGCCCCATAGGTTAAGGGCTTATCTCACAAGACTGCCCCTGACCTCAAATGCCAACAGCAAGTAGTGGGTCTCCAGGTTACACACAACTCCTGTCCAATTTGGCTACAAATCCGAGGTTCCCATAACTCCCTCCTTGGATCCAGTCACTTGATAGAATAGTACACAGAACTCAGGGCAACACACATACCAGTGTATTATATAATAAAGGATATGATAAAGGGCCAAGCAAACAGCCAGGTGAAGAGATACATCGCACGAGACCTGGAAGGTCCTAAGCATGGGAGCCTCTGTCCCTGTGGAGGTGGGGTGCGCCACCCCCCAGCAGGCGGGCGTGTTCACCAGCCTGGAAGCGCTCTGCATCCAGGTCTTCAGGGACTTTTATGGAGCCTTCATCCTCATGTAGGCATAATCAGTTATAAACTCAGTTTCCATCCCCCTTCCCTCTCCACAGAATGGACAATGCACGTCTCGTGGGCATGCGCCGTGCCTCTGCTCTGCTGCAAGTACCCATCTCAGTAGGTTGCTGTTAGAATTAAATAGGCCACACACACACTGCATCCCAATTTTCTAATTTTTTTAGCACTATGATATTTTACTGGGTTGGCTCCTGGAGGAAGGCATTCATGGGACAACAGGTTAGGAGAGACCAGCTCCTGGCAGGTTATGTTATGTGGATTTTAGGGGCTGCATTGAAAATTTGGCCTCCACCTTAAATATGTGGGGTCCTCGACCCCGTTTATATCAACTCTATGCTCCTAAGCTTCAGCAGACATTTAGCAACCTTGGCATCAAATTCAAGAATAAAACAAAAATCAGTACAGTTACTGAAAGAGGAGAAGGAACCTGTGTTTATGTGCATATGATGAGGAAAGAGAGAAGGCTGTATTCTAACCAAGGGTGTTATAAATTGAGAACTTTGGTGAGGAAGGTACACAGAGATTAATTTATAGAATCCTGTCAGCAATGCTATTTTTAAAATAGCGCTTTTAGGCTCTATGGCAAAACAAAGTGAAACAACTGGAGCCACTCCAGGCTTAGCTTCTGAATCACCAGCCAGGGAATCCAACAGATGCACATTCCTACCTGGAACCGCGCATCCTCCCCCACACTCTTCCACGAGGCCTACACTGCAGCCCTCCCAAAAATACTCACACTGGGTTTGCAAAATCAAGGCTGCAGCCCACACTCACTGCAGCCGCTCTTATCTCCTCTCCCTTGGCCATTTCCTGATACACTTGTTATGGGTTGAGTTTCTTCTTGGTTCTTGTCCCCACAGCAACAAAGAATTGAAAGGAAAGCAGAGTGGAATGTTTGCATACACTCTGAGGGAGGAACAGGCCAGAGTCGGGGCAGACAGAGGCCTTGACCCATTTGTGAGAGGCTTATATGTTGCATTTTGCTTAAGAAGGGCCTCTTTGACTGACAAGGTGGGGCCATTTGATTGACAGGTCCATCTATATAGCCACCCTCCCAGTGAGCCTGTCCTTTCCCCAGGCTGAGGTGTGATTCAGGCAGTTCTTAGTTCCGCTCGATTGTGCCACCACTGGGATCTGGTTGGAAGGAAGTTATCTCCCTGCAAAGCCCATATTGTCTTCACATGGGACCCCTACCTGGGCAGAGTTTGGGGGGCTTTTTCTTTGAACTTTATCTGGGGGCTTTTCCCTTTGAAACTTACCTTCCCTTTTCTAGCTGCTCATGCCTATCTTTCTACCTAATGTTCCTAACACACTGACCCGCCATCCCAGCTTCTTACACTTCACACATCAGAGCAGATGGTCTTC